AGAGAGAGAGAGAGAGAGAGAGAGAGAGAGAGAGAGAGAGAGAGAGAGAGAGAGAGAGAGAGAGAGAGATGACGACGGGGGAGGAACTTTGACGAACGACGATGACGACCGGGGAGGAGCGAGCAGGGAGGAAGGATTGGCGATGGAGAAAGGCGGAGGAGGGATGGCGGTGAGGGAGGGAGAGAGAGAGTGAGATCGAGAGATAGATAGATAGATAGAGAAGCTGGCTACTAGGCATATGACAGGCCTGCCAGCACCTGACCATTTGATCATCCCGATGTATTGCCTAACCGGTCCCCGATGAGTCACCCTCCCACCCTTGCTCATCATCCCGATTCCCGGCGAATCCCTACCTGAGTATACCCAGGATCATCACCCATTCTAGTGATCTTTGACCGGACAGCGGATATAGGCATCAGGGCTAAGCAGGTTCTCACCTCCCTCCCCAGCCTTGATTGAAGCACTATCGAACGAGCCACGTCGTACCCGGCAGTTCGAGCGCTAGGGGTAAGCATGCCACCACAAGTCCCAAAGGCGAACCCTAGTTTTTCCTGGTTTTCTAGAGAGATCCTGGCCTTATCATCATCAGATCCCCTTGGTTATTCTTTTGAATTCTTGCGGAGGTTATTCGAACCTAGGTCATCTCCAGTTTCCGTCTTTAGTAGGCTTACTGCCACCATCCGCTCCCCATACCTCTATCATCAACTGGATGTCTAGGCATTCTATTAGCATCCCCCAGAGTAAATCCAGCTTCCGTCCTCGGCGGGTTCACAGCCACAATCCTGCACCCACAACCTCTATCATCAATGGGAGCTACTCCGGGCTCTTCTAACCTGACATTGTTCTCTATGCAGGTAACAGACCAACCTTCACCCCCCTAAGACAGCGTCTAAATTGAATGCAGGTTCCCCAATGATATCCTCCACCAGGGACTATCCCAGCTCTACGTCAACCCAGAGGACCCCTAAGACATCCACTACCGCAGGGGCCCCAACCCTCCAGTCGGGATAGTGTGCAACCAACCCTCCCCCCAGCGGAGTCCCCGATCAATCCCACCTAGAACCCATGCCCCCCCAAAGGTGAGCCCTAAGGTAACGAATACCACCTGATCAACCGCCCACAACCCTAGTTTGCATCCCCCCACAATGTTATTCGTGAACTCATTTTTTCGGTATCAAACCTCGAACCTCATGCTTATCAGTGACCTGTGTTAACTTACCGACCTACAGTCTCGAATCGTCTGAACGTGTGCTACACTGAGCTCGAGTAAGGGACAAGTGTGCAAGCATGCAGACAACCCCCTGGACCAAGTGCGCGAGCAAACCGTTACCAATCATAGTCTAGACCCAACATACAACACCATGGACGATCCCTTGGGCGGTGCACAGACGTAGTGTCTGTAATAACTTACCTGCGTCAGCCCACGGGGGTCCCCGCCGGTGTCTCGGTGCAGAGGTGCGGAGTTTTGAACCCGCAACCTCAGACCAGAATGCACATTGACACAAAACCGGTGCCCTAACCACTGAGCCGCAGGCCTCTTGCATTTATTTCAAAATTTTAATGTTAAATTATTTTAATATCGATATGTTTTTCTTTTGAAACGGTTTTCACCTTTCTGCAGTCACAGATGCGGGCCCTAGAGTTCGATTCCCAGACCTTACCTTGCCCATGTACAGTATCGAGTTGACCCCCGAGTGTTTGAACCCGTGACCCGTGTTTTGGTAGTTGGTTGTCGTCTGTCGTAGGTCTGTGTAGATGTTGGGGTTCGATCTGTAGGTCTGTCGAGTAGGGGTCATAGCGCTATAGAGGTCGTAGCTGTAGGTGTTCTGAGAGGTCAAGGTCGTAGCTGCTACAGTCCTGAAAGGTCAAGGTCGTAGCTGCTACAGTACTCGAAAGGCCAAGTCCACAGACTTCCGGAAGGTCCGGAAGTGGCCTTTCGAAAATGTCTCACGTTTAGGCAAAGGCAAGTGGGCAAGTGGTGGAGTCCAACTTCGATGAGTCAGCGGTACCCAGTCCCAGTCTCACTTCGTACAGTCAGCAAGTACCATAAGGGACTGTGTGCACCATGGGCCAGGTGGAAAAAGGGGCCGACCACGACTTACAGAAGTATAAATCAAGAGGCAGCGCCCAGCCATTCATTCATTCGCTGCGTAAGCCATGCGGAAGCGCTGCTACAGCGTCTTGTGCGAGGTGGTCTGCAGGCCGCCGGAAGTCGAAGTGGGCTGAAGAGAGACAACGTAGCCATAGTTAGTAGTAGTAGAGCGGCCATAGCCGCTGTAGGAGGAAGATAGGCTTCAGTGTGTGTATGAGAGGGAAGCGTGTGGAGTATTCAGGGTGATCCAGAGTTGAATAGGTGCAAACGGTGGTGTTGGACACGGTGACGTGAGTGGTGTGTGCAGGCGCTGAAGCGCCATAGCGTGTTGAGGTGATTTCGCATCTGAACTGTGTTCTCGTTTCCATATCTCTGAGCTTTGAGTGGGCGCACTGCGCCAGTGTGAATCGCCATCTGTTTGTATGTATGTGAAGTGGATAAGAAAAAGCGAGTCTGATTGCACTTTTTCTAACGTTTCGGGTTGCAACTGATTATGCTGTTTTCTGTCTTGGCTCCACAACAATCTATGGGGGGGTGTTTTTTTTTTTCTTTTTCCTTTTTTTCTCCCTTGGGGGCGCATGGGCATGAGAACAACTTTGAGAGGAGGGGAGGATGGTCCTGTTCCTGGACGATCAAACTATAGATCGAGCACTCTTTCCTTTTTGGGAAAACCTATTTAGGGCATTAGATCTCAGCCGCACAATATGGAGGGATCGTTTTGAATGCAGGAAATGGGAAGTTCATGCTCCAGGGAGAGAAAGCGTCGGATTTCCCGGTCGTCGTGGAACTGTCAGGTGCAGCCAAGGTGGGACAAGTGTCTTCGAGCCATTACGATTATGTCGACTCTTTTCTTTGTTGTCTTTCTTTTTCGTGTTTTTTTCTTTTTTTTTCTTTTTCTTTTTCTTTATAAGGGCAATGGCCTTGAGATATCACCGTTGTTTATCACCCAATGGAATTTGAATTTCGAGGCAGGGTTGCATACCTGCCGACCGCCGCCCCCGACCGCCAACCGTTTTGCAGCCGACCAGTAGGGCCAACTGGTCGGCAGTCTATCAACAAGTCAGAAAACAGCCATCCACTGATTTTTTTTCAAATCTGAGTTGGGGGCTGTACTGTGCATGCTGAGCACAGCCCAAATCCGGTGAGAAACTTTTGGGGAGAGGGGGGGGGGG